CTGAAAAGTCAGTTCGACAGAAAATACCAGGAAAATATGCCAAATCTCCATATTTGCCAGTTTTTGATTCGGGGGCTTCAGGATCGGCGTCCAAGCTCATTTTTGATATCAAGCATCCTTTCACAATCGNGGATATGAGGCGAAGGTATCTTCACTTTCTTTAATCTTTCATGTTCTGATTTTATACTTGTCAATGAATGTAGTTCTGATTACTTTTTATTTGTTGTGATTTGAAGTGCCAAAAATATATATCCCGATGAAGTAAATAAGCTTGCGGAAGCTTTTACTTTTGGCTCGTGTAATGTGACCACGAAGGATTGGTTCCACTCACTTGCATATTGTGGTCGACCTTTCATTGACACGGTATTTAATAAATTTATGTTCTAATGCCTTTTTTTATTTGTTGCATATCTTTATTATTTGAGACCCCCATAGTGTATACATAGCCTTGTATAATCACAATATAAGATTGTATAACATTGTATAAGATTGTATAACCTTGTATAAATATGTATACCTCTGTATAATAGTGTATAAATTTTTATATTTAAAATATCTGGTAGTGATGGTTGTTCTGTTTTATTTCTTGTTTCAGCACTTGGATATCCTCTTTTATTATTTGAGGAAGAGGGGAAAATATGGGCCGAGTGTTGCCATGCGGTTTACTACAACCGACTTTGCCTTTGGTAACAAAATCAACTCCCTGTATAAAGTTTTCAAAGTGAATCAAGATCCTTTAGTGATTCCTGAAGGGCATGAGATAGAAGAGGAAATTAGAGGATATTATTGTGATGCAAATGTCCCGTGGCACACTGTTGACCACGTCTTATTCCCTATCTATGTGAAGCGCGGAAGAGCAAAATTGGGCCATTGGGTTTTGGGGGTGTTTACCTTCATAGATAGGTGCATCCACATCTATGATTCTAATCGTGGATCTATTAATGATAGACTTGTTTTGGATGCTGCATTACCTTATGCAATTCTAATACCTTACTTCTTGAAGAGTTCTGATTTTTATGTCGAGAAGAAGGGCATTGATTGGAACAATGGTGCATATACCGATAAATCCCATTCTAATGCTTTGCAGATTAATCTGGTTAATAATGTTCCCCAACAGATCAAATGGTAGGTTAATCTCAATTGTTTTACTATTTTACTATTAGTTTACCAATTTGAATCTGATTTTTTTCTTTTTAATTACAGTGATTGTGGTGCTTTTGTTGCTGGCTTTGCTGAGTATTTCATCCTTGGTAAGGAAATTCGAAAAGATAATTTTGACATTGAGACACTTCGCACCAGGTGGGGATCTCTGTTGTGGGATTATGGAAGGAAAAAACAACAGTCCGGTGCAATTAGTGGTGATGAAATCACAGGGAGACTTTTCAACAAGAGGAAGAGGGGCGACCGAGAAAGTAGTTCTGTTTTTTCCATTTTACTGTAGTTTTTCTATGTATCAGGAGTTGTTGCCTAGTTTTGTCTAAGTACTATTCTGCTACTTGTGAGATAGCATTAAAGGATTTTATAGATGTTTTTATTTTTGTGTAATTTGCGGTAGTCATTACACATTGTGGCTGTGAATGAATTACATTTAATGAATATATCAGTTGCTTTTGTTCTTTAACAAAGTATGTATTTTCACTATGGTTGCAGTTTTGTTGTTGTAGCAGGGTTTATACATATTTATACAAACTTATTCTCTCATTTATACATCTGTATACATATAATACCAGCAGTTCTGTTTTGTATTTGTACAATGTATCAATATATTTAGCACCATTAAAAACAACAACACACTATTATTGGATAATCAAAACATGTATAATGAAACATATTTAACACAATTGCAATATATAGCGTAAGTTGTAAATCTTTACTGACATTTGTAATTCAATTACTTGTGAGACTTAACTACTCAACATTTGTAACTCTATTCTTTGTGAAACTTAACTACTCAACATGACAACAAATGTAATAGGAAGTGTTATGTTTTCAACTATCTATTTTGGTTGATTCCTACATGTTTTTCTATTGTGACCACCTTGTCCACACACAGAACATGAAAACGCCCTCTTAGACTCTTTTTCTGAAGCAGGTTTGAGTCTTTCCTTTCTTGGACTTCCCGCATTCCTTCTCCATTTAGCTGGTAGGACCATATCTTCCATCACCTCTGTTTGGATTACCCATAGACTCTCATCTGGCATCGGATTCACTGGAAATTCATAAGTTCTAAGGAGTTTATCCTTCTTGTAGTAAAAAAGAGCAATACTGGCCAGGTTTCAGCTGCTGGTTCCTCAAAACCGCCCAAGCATGCGGACATGGAAGTTCATCCATTTGAAATTTGACAAAGTTACACCATATATCACTTGGGCCAGACAGCCCACTCGAAAATAGCCCATATTTTAAGCCTTTACCAGGATTAGCCCATGTTGTATATTTTATGAAATTTACTTTACACCCGGTAGCCCACAACTCAAAATAACTGTTTTAATATTTTAAATTTCAATTTCTTTGTTTCTCTTTCTCTCTTTTCCTCACGTTTTTCTCAGACTCTCTTTCTCAGGCCTTTCTCAGACGATAACCGACCTCCATTGTTGGGTTCAACTAATTTTTCGAGCTTTTAATCTTAATTTCAGGTAATTTCTGTTTCATTCTATGCTTTTACCACAGTTTTGGTTTTGAATTTTGTTTTATTTTTAATTTTTTTGCTTTTTCTGATTATGCCTATTTTCTTACAATGTTGCTGTGTTTTTCGTTTGATTTTGTGTTCCATCTATCTTCGTTCTAGGATTAAACTTGATGTTTTAGTTTGCATGCTCTGTTATTTCGACTTTTACGGTAGTAATTTTTTATTTTTTTGTATTTTTTGTTTACTAATTTGGGTAAAATTGGTCCTCTGTCTTTGTTGTTCTATGGTCCTTTAATTTTGGTTTAACCTTTGTAGTTTGTTACTAGTTTAATTTTGTTTTTTCTTCTGTTGTCTTCAATTTTGTTAAAGCTTTGGTTGTTTGGTTTATTGTAGAAAATGCGCTCAAAAGTAGCTGCTTCTAAAAGCAAAATGAAGATTGCTGGAAAAGGCGTTAAGTTAGATTATGCGAAAAGATTGAGGGAGTTGCCCTCCTGATTCTGAATCTAATGTAAATGTCCAGGCGCCACATTGTAATGATTTTGAGTCTCCTGCTCCTCCTAAAAATTCGCAACAAGAGAGCAGTCGGATGACTCGTTCGCAAACGAGAATACTCCCACTCCTAGTTAAACTAATCGAGTGACTTGCCCTCACCACCTTCTTCTGAAGCGAAAACGCATGTCCGGGATCCCGATGATGATGATTTTGAGTCTCCTCCTCCTCCAAAAAAGTTGCAACAAGGGAGCACTCGAGTGACTCGGTCGCAAACAAGTAATACTCCTACTCCGGTTAACATTGTTAGAATACGGAGTAAGAAATGTGGGAGACCTCAAAAATTAAAAGAAAAGCTGAAAGTTGATTTGGTTAACGAAGATGATGTAGGCCGCAATGTTAAACCGAAAAGGAGAAAGATCAAGGATGATGGTGATAGTGGCCTTGATTCCTTATCGAAAGAACAAAGGTTTGCTATTCTCTCCAAATTGAATGGGAGAAAAGCTAAGTTGAAGGTATTCCCTGTGTTGCTAGTAATTTATACATGCTTATACAATTTTATACAAAGTTATACAACTGTTTATACATCTTTATACAAGTTCTGCTATACTTATTTATATATTTTTATAGAATGTTTTAGTATAGTTTTTGTTCCTGATCTATTTCTTGTTATTTTTTTTATGCAAGGTTGGGGACTTCTATATACAACCAGTTGATTATTTCCACAACGAGATTAGCCCCCACACCGAGACTGAGATTGTGAGCATTTTGCAGCAATATTTGACTGACACACAGCTTCAGA